AGTTATAAACGCAGCAGAAGTTTGGAACCCTATTTTAGAAACACCCTGTATTATTAAGCTGTGCTCCTACCATATATCTTAATAATCTCTTCTGTGCTATAAAAACTTGTGTAGAAAATGTAGAATTTCCCCAGAGACCATATCTGAGACGAGATGCAACTTGTGCATGATATAAACAAAGAAGTCGTTCAATATTTAATATCGGCCTTAAATTGCGAAATAAATAAGTAAGAGGGGATATCTTATTAGTTAATAACTTACAGTGCATTTTCCAATTCAGATTTTTGTCTATGTTCAGTCCTAAAAATTTTATTACCTCAACATCAGTAGTTAAGTCATCATTTCCTACAGTAAAACCCAACATATCACAATATTTCTGCGAGCTAAGGAGTCTTATAATAATTGTTTTATTAGTATTAAAGTACAAATTATTCTCAGAGAACCATATCTTTTAATAAAAGATATAGTTCTCAGAGAACCATATCTTTTAATAAGATGTAACAATTTGTCTCCAAATCCTTATCGTTTGTGTTCGATGTAATTAAAGATGAAAACTTTTGTAGGTACATAATATTAAGATATGCTACTTATTGACTGATATTGATTCAAATTATACAGGGTGACCCGTTCATGTTTCAAAAAAAACTTGTGTGCAAGTTCCTCAAGGGAAAATAATGGAGGTAGTTCATATAACGTTTTTTTCTTAGACGCCCTGTTATCGAGATACAGTGTGTTGAAGTTGTTACTTTCCAAATGGTTTTTCTTAATAATCTTTAATTCGGCTAGACAAAAATCCTAAAATTTGTACAAGAGTAAACATTAACTGGACGATAAGAATAATGTGCAAACAGTTTCTTCTTCCTGAAAAGCAGTGTCGCCGATACAGGTAATTGCAGGGATACAATCTAAGAAAAATATGTTAAAAATCAAAATTTGTTACATTTCTAGACGGTTTTGTATGCTCTAAAGCAAACTAAAAAAAAGGATACTTGTCGAAATTCTGTAGCATGTATCATTTTCGAGAAAAATTAAGTTGAATAGAAACAAATGGGGGACAATTTCAGCATCTGTATTTCGAGATTTGCTCATTTATTTAATTGTTCAGCTATTTTGTTCTGTCTGTCTCCGAGTTTGTTTCCTAATATTTTTCTGTTCTTATCACTTTTCAAGGTCAAATGGACCTTGGATTCGGACAGAGCGACCTAGAAAACATAGGGATATAGTGGTCTAGTCCGATGCACAGATTTTTTTTTTGTGAAGCTGTGTTATCTTCTTCGTGTATGGTTGAGAACACTCATTTTCTGAAAGTGCATTTACAATTTATCATGTAATACAAAAAATATTATGAGATATTACTGACGTGTTATCGAAGAGAAAATAATAATAAATATTAAAGTACATTCTGCAGATTACCTACAATAAAGTACGTAATACCCCTGTTGCCTAATACGTACATTTTGTTCAACATCTGTGTTTATTTTTATAGATCGTAAAAATAATATTTCAATAACGTCGATGCCCAAACCACCAATCTTTTAGATTGCATGATAGTACCGTTTCGCATTTTATTAGGCAATATTTTCTCCCAATATGTAATATAATGTATTTTTACTGCGATAAAGTCTTCTTGAAACAACTCTATGGAAATCATGTAATTTAAAAGTACCGCAGAATTCCATACTTTGACTCCCTATTGTCATGTTAATTAGCGACACTATACATAATACAGTGTGTAAGAAGTTTGACTGCGACTCAGAGTAATCACAAATGAACAAGAAAGTTGTATATTACTGGGGGGTAAGATTAACACTTTTCAAAATACAGCGAGTATTAATTTTGGGGAGTTTCATCACAACGTGACAACAGCGCTTAACTTAATGCTACACAGCTGATGCAGACCACGTGTGCACGCGGTAGCTTTGTCCTGGAATAACAAAAATGTAAACTATTATTGTGAAACATTTAGTAAATTTCAAGACAATCGTTTTCCAGTTTTTAAATGAATGAAATAAATTGTATCGACTTTGTAGTACAAAGATATTGTTGTGCTTAAATTTTAGCTCGAATTTTAATAATTATGAATCTCTTAGAACATGAACTTAACTTTTAATCAAGTTATGAATTTGAAAAATTTGTAGGTAATTAAAGTACCCAAAGATTCAGATCGTCCAAGTAATCATACGTATAAAAAATAATTTAGGTACTTACCAAAAAGCAAAATACAGTAATTTTTAAACGCACAAGTACAAAACAAACTACAACATATGTTCGAAATGTTCACCACCATTTTCGATGCACGCACACATTGCTCGACATGAATTTTATCGAATTTTAAATTTATTACGATGCTAATTATTTTTAAAAATTAAGCATAAAGAAGTTCAAAAAAGTGATAAACATTGTATTTTATGGTATTCTATGCACGCAATTATAGGCGAGCGATTCACCCCTAAAAAGATGCTTCTAAATGGAGGTAACCGACTAAATTTTTAAAACAAAAACCTACAGCATGAAACTTTTTTTATTTTACAGTGTATTTTTCTGATTATTTACATATATTTTTTATATTATTCGACGTGGTCAGTCAATTGCTATAAACAAAAATGTAGTAAAAAAAGATTACTCGCCGAAGGGCTTTGTAAAATGGGCCAAAATAAACACTTTTTGTTCTTTGCCGAAAATTCTAAAAATGCTTCGTTTTCGAGATATTTACCATTTAGTATGAAAAAAGTGACGAAATCGACAAACTTGCGGAATTTTTTTCTCAAAAACAGCTGAACAAAGTTTAATTCTAAAAAAAAACATAATAACCGGCAGATCTACTTTAAGATAATTTTTTTTAGTATAGGTCAATTACTTTATTGAAGGTCTAAAGCGAGTAAAAAAACAGTCTTATAAAGAAAATCATGATAAACATACGCATCAAAATGGCGGCGTCAATGGCGCTACGTCGCGCGCGAAACAGTTCAAATTAAAATTTTCTTTTTACAATATCTTGGACTAGATTATATATACAGTAAACATAATGTTATTAGGATATTTTTAATCGATATATAACAATAACATTTAATGATTCAATCGGCTAATGCGGAAATAACCATAATTTTTCCTATATTTATAATAATTATCAGTGGCTGTGATACGACATGTTCGATATCTAATATTGGAAAAAATACTGCTTTAAAGGCTTTAAATAAATTTACAAATGATGAATTAAAAATATTTGCTAATTTAGAAAGTTTAACTTTAGAAGATGCACTTGAAGTTTTGACGTTATATTTATCAAAAATGTATGATTCTCAAAATAAATGGAAAGATTGCTCGACATCTGTTAAATTAAGACATACAATTGCTTTAAAAAAAAATGCTGCAAGCGATAGATTGCCACTTTCGTACCCAGCATTATTGCAACATTATTTGAGGTCAAAGTGGCAAATAAGTGAATGGAAGCAGGCTACAAATAGTGAAATTGTAACTCTAGATCCATTGATTGACACATGGATTTTAATTATTTCGATGGAGAAACTGCGTTACATATGCTTCAAAAATATTTATGTGTGTAGTGGAAAATGTACGAAAAATTGTAACTGTTTGTCATCGAACCTGGAATGCCGTGCAGTCTATGCGTGCTCAGATGAATATCAGAATGTTCCATCCGAAATTGATGATGAAACGCTTATTTCAACTCAAGAACTTGTCGAAAATAACGAAAAACTTATTATTTAAAAAATAAAAAAGAAAATAATATACATTTATTGCTCCCAATATTTTTGTAAAATAAAAATAAAATAATTATCTTATACAATAAATTATCCAATAACTTTTTTATTTTTCGAGATTGCTAGGTCAATTATTATTATCAGATTAATTTTACGATTTAAAAAGCTTATTTAGTTTAGTTCTGGTATAACTTACAAGTCAATTTTAGCCATTTATAAAGCCAAAAATCGAATATTTAAATTTTACTAATTACTTGCAAAAACCTTACTCATCCGGCTACAAAACTGAACAAAATGATCTTTTGAACATTTGTACTGTTAATATATATCGATTAAAAAAAATCATAATAATGTTTATTGTAAATATAATCTTATCCAAGATATTGTAAAAAGAAAATTTAAATTTGAAGTGTTATTAATTTTCTTTAAAAGACTTTTTTTTTCTCGCTTTAGACCTTCAATAAACTGATTGATCCATACCAAAAAAATATATCTTAAAGTAGAAAAGCTGCCGATTATTATGCTTTTTTTAGAATTAATTCAGTACTAGTTTTTGAGAAAAAAATTCCGAAAGTTTGTCGATTTCGTCACTTTTCACATTAAATTGTAAATATCTCGGAAACAAAGCATTTTTCGAATTTTTGTCAAAGAATAAAAAATGTTTATTTCCACATTACAATTAAAAACTTTTTTGTTTATAACAATTGACTGACCACTCCAAAAAAATATTTAAAAAATATGTAAATTATCAGAAAAATACACTTTATAAAATAAAAAAAGTTTCATGCTGTGGTTTTTGTTTTAAAAATTTAGTCGGTTCATGCCTTTTCTTAGGGGTGAACCGCTCGCCTATTATGTCAATATTCCTTAATTAATCGAACTTTTGTTTATCAAATTAGAGATTTCGATAATTTTTTCTCGGCAATTCACTTGTTTTTGCTTTGTGTTGTTTTCAAATATTTAATTCTGTGTTACATACTTTATTTTGTTTATTAACGATGTTCAGTCGCTGACTGGAGCTCAAACTGTATAAATAATTCAGCTACCATATAATATGCCCCAGATCACATAAAAATTTCATAAATTAAAATTCACGGTTCTCCCTTCCCGTCTGTCGGAATCTCACCGAGTTACAGTATAAACTTTTTATCATTCATGAAACTTTGGCGTGTACCCTGCAAATGGATTAAAATTTATACCTACCGGAACGACAGTATGGAAAATATTATTTCGCGAATAGTAATTCGTCTGGTGGAAACTCATCCGAGGTTTTATTTTCAGGGACCCAAATGGCGCTGTTCCAAATGCATCGGCGTCCGAGGCCAAAAATTCACAAAAAGACCACGAGGAGACCAGCACGCCTTACTGGGACACGTACGACACTATCAACCAGTTTTATCTGGAATTAGGTGAGCCCTCTAAACATAAATTCGATAACTTTTCTTGTTAGTTTTATTAAAGCTCCCCTATTTATAGATATGTAGTAAAAGGATACATTCGCGTCACGGGGCATTTGTCTGTTGGAAGAATAAGAGGTTTCACGGAATATAAAGCAAATCTAGGGGGAGGAGAGGAGATTGTAACAAAGTAGTAATGCCTGAACATAAAATATTTACATATATTTTTATGAAGCATGGGTATGTGCTTAGCAAATCCAGATTCCTTGAATTAGCTAACCGGAAAAATACTTTTACAAAAAATAAATTTAACTGGTTACTTCATTTGTTACAAATGACATCTAGCTAGCTTTTAAAACAAGGTGCAGTTGTAACAGGCTTTAAAAAGTGACAAAAAAGTATTTAATAATGTCATATCTTAAAATAATAAGAATTTTAAAAATTCATAATTTAATATTACTACCCTATTTATTAAATGTAAAACATAAAAAATCTTATTTCAAAGGACGTCTAAACCTTTTTAGGCAACATAGAAAATAGCAATTATGTTTCCCACATCGGTATTGGAAATATCCAACTAGTTTTTCCTTTGTAAATACTTTATTCTGAAATTATAATAATTTTGGGAGTTTAATAAAAATTTATTTGTAACTGAACATGAACATTTTATAACTTTAGTAATACGTATACAGGGTGTTTCAGAAAGACCTCCCGTAAATTCTAGATACAGAGCTACAAAATAAAATTTTTTAAATAGAATACGAAAATTTTCAAACGGTGCGAAATATTTTTATGAAATTTGGTATTCTGGGGTTTTTAAGGACGCCAAATAAGTTGGTCTAATTATTTTTTGGATATTTCATACAGCGCGCTAGTTAACCTACATTCCTATTACATTTTAAGTTTTTTTAAGGTCAGGTTTTTTACTATTCGGGCTCCAATTTTTAATGTTCAAAAAATAATGTACTCTTGTTAGAACTTCCTAATGTGGACGGTTTTCGAGAAAAAAGGCTTTTAATTCAACTGTTACAATATTACGGTGAAGAAAATAAGTGACTTTTCTCAAAGTAAGCTTATGCAAAAACTTAATTATGGATGTCTCATAAACAACGCATACATTCTCAGTAATACTTAAACTCTAATTAACTTCAAAATTTTAGTGATTGTTAGTGACTATAGTTAGTAATGAGTAATTACAGTCACTAAAATTTTGATATAAAGTTAATTAAGAGTTTAAAATATTACTGAGAATGTATGCGTTGTTTATGAGACATCCATCAATAAGGTTTAACATAAGCCTACTTTGAGCAAATTCACTTATTTTCTACACGGTAATATTGTAACAGTTCAATTAAAAGCCTTTTTTCTCGAAAACCGTCCACATTAGGAAGTGCTAACAAGAGTACATTATTTTTAGATAAAATTGTACATTAAAAATTGAAGCTCGAATGCTAAAAAACGTAACCTCAAAAATATTAGAACTTAAAATGTAATAGGAATGTAGTATAAGTAGCGCCCTGTATAAAATATACAAAAAATAATTAGACCAGCGTATTTGGAGTCCTTAAAAACTCCGTAATACCAAATTTCATAAAAATATTTCGCACCGTTTGGAAATTTTCGTAAAAATTCTATTTAAAAAATTTTATGTTATATATACTTCAAAAGACAAAAAATTCTTTTTTTTTGCAGTACTATCATTCCTTGGGAGGTCTTTCTGAAATACCCTATAATTTTTTTAAATTTTATTCATCCAACGGGCAGGAAACGCAAGTATAAGACGAATAAATTTCTAAGATAGGAAAGAACAAAAATACAAACAAAACATAAATTTATGTTTAAAAAATTAGAGCTGTCAGTGCATAAAAAATAGAGCTAAATAACAATATGTCTATACATAAATAATGAAACAGTATTAATAATTATAAAAAATAAAACACAAAATGTTGGTAATATTAAAAAAATACATACAATTAGGTATCAGTAAATACACAACAGCACATGAATATATATTTTGACAAACAAAAAAAGGGGATAAAAAGCAAACAGAAGAACTCAACTATGAGCAAAAGTATTTCAATGTTTTCAAAAGAAAACTGTTCTCAAAGTTAACATAATTGATAAGCATTTGGTGTAATACTGCAAAATATTGGTGGAAGAAGGGGAAATAACAAACACATTACTAGACGTAGATATAAGACAATAAAATCAATATTGTTAAGACTTTATATAAGAACAATACAGAATACATAGTTCTTCCCCTAATAAGGCTGTCAATCTCAATATAAGTATGTAGTATGTATATAGGGTGATTTCACTTAAATTACAGAAACTGCAGAACTAGATTCATTACCAAAAAATAATTAGAGTTTGCTCTATAAACTTTTTTCCTGCGATACTCGGTATTCGAGATACAGGGGGTTAAAGTTTACAAAAAAATGTATATTTTCTGCTATATTTTCATAATGCACCGACAGAATTGAATTGAATGAAATTTACCACAGCGTATTCACTTAATTAGACCTTTTATTAACCTTGTGGCTTTAGTCAGTGGCGTGCTACGGGAAGTGCCCCCCCCCCCATTCTCCTAAGAAAAAGTACGCTACTAACGGTTTTTTTGCAGAAATAATGTTACATTACGTTAAATGAATGAAGTTTCTCGGTGTTTCTTAATAGAAGTAGCCGTTTAGGAGACATTTGGGCTTGCTTTTATGTTTTATTGATTTTTTCTTATAAATGAATCGGTTTATTTGACGAAAACCTTCAGTTTTTAACCAGTGACGTGCTACTAAAGCGCCCACCAACTTTTCCCAAGAAAAGAACACGCCATTGGCGTTTTTTTGTAGAAATAATTTTATTTTTGGAAAAAATATCAAAACTAAATAATAAAGCTCGTAATAAAGTAACTTTACGGAATTTAACATTATTTCGACAAAAAACGGCCAGTGGCGTAAATTTTTCTTAAGAAAACGGAGCGGCACCTTCAGTTGTACGGCATTGGTTAATGCCACGAGGTTAATATTACATTCAGTAAAAGGTCTAATTACGTGATACGATGTAATAAATTTCGTTCAAATTGTTCAGCGCATTATGAAGATATGATCGAAAATATATATATTTTTGGAAACGAACATCCTATATCTCGAATACCACGTCCCCCAGAAAAAAGGCATATAGAGCAAACTCTTCTTATTTTTGGCAACTAATCTATTTCTGCAATTTCTGTATTTCAAGTGAAATCACCCTGTATCTAAATATGTATTCCCTTTATAAAGCTGTCAATCTCAAATCTATAAGTAGGTAGTGCGAAAAACTTTCAGCTAAAAATCTATTTCTTCTATGAATATTATATAACAATCATATTAAGGCATATGGACTTACTTTAGTTTACTCGTAGTTCTATCAAAACTTACATACAAGGTACCTAGAGTGGAAATATTTTTGAAATCTCTGGTATTGCACAAAATAAAACATAAATTTTTGTAACCGACGCAAATATAACATCTAGACCCTTGACACAACTAGATATATCGAACACATGTTGGTCATCTAATATGTAGTAGGTAAGTGAAATTTTAGGAGATTATGGTTTAACAAATAAAATAGCACACTATTACCTACATCCATAGTCACATATTGTTTCAGTCTCTTTATAGATTTTATAATCTAATCTCAGGGATAAATGGAATTTTACATATTTTGTATTGTGCATCAAAATTCATAAATTTATTAAAAGAATCTGAAAAGTAATATCCTGTGGATTATCACAGTTTGAACCATTGTCAGACATAGAAGAGGATATCATAGTTTAAGCCCAAATATTTTAGAGTGGCTTTTAGCCCGCTTAAGAGAACATATAGAAAAAACGAGATTGAATATATAAAAGTGCCGAATAGATGACATTAACACTGATAACTGTAACTGCTGCTTCTTGAATGTTGTACTGTAATCAAATGGGCAATGTCTATTAATTTGCATTGAGAACAATTTGAATATTGAAGTAAATAAATGTTCAACAGTAACTAATATAAATATCATAACTTGTTACAATTTATACCATTATTATCTCGTTTAATACGTATAACTTATTTGTAAGAAAACTAGCAAAATTGGAACTGATTAGAGACTTCAAATTTTTGAAACAGATTTTCAATGTGTACAAGCTGTAAGAACAAATACCTATCTATTGTTTAACAACAAACATATTTCAAAGTAGCAAAGTTGATTTTCATAATAATCAGATCCAAAACTAAAAAGTTCATTCTAAATATATTATATGAAACATTTCTTTCATTAAAGGTACAATACATATACAATATATACACAAATTTAAATGCTGTCTGAAAACTTCAACAAAAAAAATATGGTTGGTGATCCTATCCCGACTGTCAATACCTTCGAGTATATACTACTGGAGGTAGTCTCCCAGCGCAACGACTGGGCGCGCAGGGAGAGATAGCTGCTATGAAATTACATGCACTCTTTTTTCGCGCCCAATGTGATTGGCTATTCCTGACATGTAGTCGTAGAGGGGATCAGTCGTGAGGCAATCACGTTCGGAGAGAGAGATAGCACGTATTCATTCATAGTAGGTATGTCTCTCTTCACTTTCCAACATGCCCGGTCATTGCAAGGCTACCTCCAAGTAGTTCAAAGGTCAATACTGAAGTATGGATATTACACTATCTGTGTTCAGGTACATATCATAATTTTCAAGTGTATATTTATTTTAAAGGAATGACAAAAAACATAAATTACTGCATCTCTGTCTCTGGGACTGTACTACAACTCACATTTATGTGAATTTCCTTTAAAAAAAATGTTTTTTTTGTGAACGTTTAAAACCCCACTACAAAAAACGCATTTACTCTGTACATGTCGAGCTTTACTATATTATTAAATAAAGCCAGATACACGTAATTTTTCACGAACGTGTAGACTACCACATTTTCAGTTTTCATAATGCATAACGTCTGTTTTCAGGGCTCGCAATGGTAAACAAATACCGTTAG